GGAGTCGATGAGAAATTGTGTTGTGTTTCTTCTTTTCAATGCTCCGAAGCAATTGGCGACTGGATATTTATGGTGTCCTGTAACTCGGGCATTTACAGGAAGACACGCGCTGTTGTACCTAAATCATACCCGCGACGGACGTTTATGGAACGTTAACTCGACTTATCTTCCGAGATGCACCTATCTCTAGGAAAATAAAACAACCATTGAGCATTAAGTACATCCATTATTCACGAGGAACATTTCTGTATCTCGCTACAAAAAAAAAACTATTGATAATTCAATCAATTAGTTTAATCCGAAACATAAAAGCGTCTCAATTGAAACACGAATCCGGAAAATAAGCGCGGATCTCGTAAAAAAAAAACAATCGCAATATCGAAAGCATCCTTCGGAGGAGCGTATTCAGATGGAATTGCCCTCTGTAATGGAGTCAAGGCAGCGGTTTTATAGTTCGGAATAGGCAATATATGAATGGAAGAAAAAAAAAGTGAATTTACACATTGAATTCTCGAACAACAACGGGATGTAACGAAATTTTTCCATTCGCTGTTATTGGCAAACGAGGTATGGGTGGGTAAGGAGATTGGAGATGTAATGAGGAAGATGGGATCTGGCGATGGTCTGGTTAACAGGTATATAGGTAGATGGACGGATGGAGGAACTAGATTGGTTGGTTGGTTGGTTGGGCGGACGAACGGCAGCCCCGGGGCTTTATTAACTGCAGTAATTAAAACACAGCTTCCGCAGGAATAGGTCAGGAATTGTTGTCGGGTCTGCTCCGACCAGATAATGGAGATGCGACCCGATAACGACGAAGTTATCGCTATATGACAACCACGGACCGCAACGGTTTAATGGGGATTTTGATATTTCTTCAATTTATTTGTTGCTCAACCCTAAAATGCTTTCAACTCTTTTAGTGCTGTGTCAATTGTCAAATATTATCTGTCATTACGTGATGCTTGTCAAATTATTTCAAAAGTAAATATATTAAAAGTATATGACAAGTAAATGTAATTTACTCATAAACGTTAAAGTTACCCAGCGCTCCTTCCCAAGTAACTTCTACAAGTACATACTATACGAAACTAGAGTACTCAAACAATTTACTTGTATAAGTACGATATAAAATAATAATATCGTGTTCATCAATAACACAAAGCTCGCATAGCATCGATACGGTGGATGCGCCGGGTTTCGCATATCAAAGGCAAAAACTCAATAAAGCATAGCGAAGTTGAAACGCGATAATTATTTATTTTTATTCACTTCTTTTTCCACCTATCACCCATCAAAATCACGTAATAAAATGTAAATGTCCGACGGTCATAAAACAAGGAGAACCAAATATAAACTTATTTTCCTGTTTGCATTTAGCACTCACCTCCCGTTTTATGAATTAATAAACATTTTCAATATGCAACGCAAAAATCTGCTAAACTCCCTTTTATGTACTCGGTGTTCTTTATATATATATATACGTTAGGTTAGTAGTTCATATATAAAATACACACACTACGTTTATTTTTATTCATTTTTTTTTCGCTTTTTAATAAAGCTATAAACAGTGAAATAGAGCGCCGCGATTTCGAGAGTATCTTTTATACTTCCGACATTACCTCTATTATTCGCGTAACGTAAAATATTAAATTCGTTAAATTTATCGGTGAACAAACTTGAAAATTGCAGTTTAAAAACCCGTTGAATTCCGCAATAACTTACAACGGCTGCATAGTTCAGGAGATAACCGCACTCCGATGTCGCAATATTAATCAAAATATGCATAATGCAATTACCATTATAATTAATACTATACAATTTAATTTAATTGTATACATATATTTTCAAATATTTATATTGTAGAATTATACGGGAAACCGAATAAAGTTATTATATAAATGTTTAACGATATCTTTTTGTTTTATTATTGTAAATTTAATCCTGTGCTGTATCTGTAATTCAATCACAAATAATTCAATATTACAACAAACGCTGATTGTTTCCAATAATAAAAAGAATGTAATTACTGGTATATTTATACATTTATAACGAGTTTTCCTTCCAAATTATACATATAAAAAAATCATAATATTTGACTACAAATCATATTGATTACTTTCCCAAAAACTATGGAAAATTTTAAACTTTTATCCTAAAAAATATTTACAGATTTCCACTAGTAAACTTGATCAACAACTACAACTTTTTTGGTCCGCGGATCGTAGGTTTGGAGACTTCTGGTCTAAAGAATCGTACACACTAAAACTATAAATTTATGTTTCAACTTATGTAAAGAAAGTACTCATCATTAACCGTTATCAATAAATTAACATTACAAACAACAACGAAAACACTTGTTACATGTAAACCAATTTGTTGAGTGTTTGTTTAGAAAGCGATAATATTTATTGCATATCTATTCATTTCCTGAACCACTCGTAAATCGGTTGCGAGATTATTCCGAGTGGTCTTTACTTATTGCTACCAGAAGTGCGCATGTAAATATTCAAGTAAACCATGGAGATCATTCTTGTCACAAGCAAACAAATATAAATAAATTAACAGCAGAAATGAGATATCACATGTTTCGTGAATCGAGTTTGTCACAGAATGAACGGGGTCAACGCAAGAGTTGTTACCGCTGTTTTCTTGTTTGGTTTTTAAATTTTTGCGGCACATAAAGAGTTCACAAACACACAAAATACAGTACATTTTTTTTCAATGCAAATGGTTTACAAAGCGCGAATTCGCAACTCGCAAAAATAAAATATAAAAAAAATAAAACATAAATTTGCATGAACAAAAATGTTTAATTAATTGCAAAATATAAATTTCATCTATTTTATTAAATAGTTTATAGCAATTCCTCTAGTAATCTGGTTCTGTCAATATACCGGATTATTTGGAACAAAATATAATTTTTAAATATATTTTGTTCAATTATAATTTAGATTATTTTGAAATTTTCAATAAAGTTTACGTACTGATCGAAACCGCACTCTATATAGTATTTTATGCATTATTAATACACTTAAACTTAATCTAAAATGAAGATCAAATGATTTCATGTAATATTTTAAGCGTTCATTATTATTTTACAATTTGGATTTGTTATGTAATTGGAATACGCAAGCGGCAAGTTCTAACTAAGTCCGTATGCAAATTACTTGGGGAAAACACTTTGACTTCGAGCTTAGTTTAGACTATTATACAGATGCGAATAAATTCACTGAAACGAGGTCTGAACGTTTGAAAACGTCGATGATTCCAAAAAAAAAAAAATCACTGACACCACAGAAAACTGTGATACTTTCAAAATCAAAATACATATACAATATTATGAAAGTGCAAGAAAATATGTTGTTTATAATTAAAAATAATATCCGTTAATATTTATAAAATAAAATTGAAAATTAATTGTTAAAGGATTCAAAAAAAATCACTCAAATATTAATCGTGAACGTAATTTCTGATATTGCGTTCGGATAATATCGATTTCACGAGTGTTTGTTAAATATTTCGGAACGTCGTGCTTCGATCTACATTTCGCTTTAGTCTACTAAATAATGACCAATCTCTGCGGACTTTACTGCTCAACGTTGTTGTGTGTCAACATCAAAAGTATCATTAATAATTAAATCAAACATGAACTATTTATGAATGTAAATGAAGCAAATCGATACATCTATCTATTAGAAAATAAACGTTACATTCTGACATTTGTAAATAATTGTAAAGTGTTGGATGCGCGGGACAGGTGGAAATGCTTACGGCGAAGAGGATGAAAGCCAAAGCCGTCTCCGATTTATAATGCATATACGTCTTAATACGTATCCGACTGAAAAGAAAGCTCTTGCAACGCCCTCTTCAACGATATAAAGAAGGGATGAATGGCGAATAATGGATAAAATATATGTGAGAGCTTGCAGATTTCAATGAAATAATTTATAGAAAATAAAAACGGAAGCTCGCTTTTATTTTCTTTCTTCTAATTAAAATAAGCGTGATCTCATTAAGCCTTCAAAACCAGTAAAAAAAAGCAAAGGTTTATGAATAAAGGTGAAAACAAAGCAATTTATGGAATGGATAGAGAAGAGAGGGTGAAAAGCGTAGGCATTTCATACAAATTCGTTTGGAGAATATCATTTACATACGAGCACAACTATTCCAAAATGAAGAATATAATATGAAACAATAGGAAATATAGTTATAAAAGTTTATTTTTTTTTTGTAAATCATTATTATCATTACTTGAATTACCTATTTTTCAAAATCTATACCAATTTATTATTTAAAATATATAAACGAAATCACAAATTTCTAAATAATCACAAAACAAATTTATATTAATTGAAAAATGATATAGTTAAGCCCTTTGCAACAGATGACATATTTATTCTTATTATTGTATTTATTAGCTGCTACACAACAGCATAAAATTAATGAAATAAAAAAATGGACTGATGGCAAAAGTAAGACATTCATCAGCGTATTAATTTGCATGCTAGCAAGTATTATTACGTACACATTACGTTCGGTGAAACTGAAATGCGAAGGTAGAAAAGTAGGATAACAGGCTTATACACTGCAGTCAGTACTCGGAATGCAACTTAAATGCGGTTATATGAAGACGCGTACTTGGCGTTCGCTCTTTCCCCCGGCGAGGACGAAAACAAACAAAAAGGATTTACAGCGTATAAATGATCATTTACAAAAAAAAGCGCATTCACTACGATGATGATGATGATGATGTCGGCAACAGCACGTGCTCTACGAACCAGACCATCGCCACCACTGAAACTGGGTCCTGGATTACGTAACGGATAATCTGATTACTTCTCTGTATTAGTGAGTTTAGTAAATGCGTTTTTTTTTTATTAGTTTCGATTGGCTATGAAATAGATAAATGCGTGCGTGCGTGCGTGCTTGCTTGAAACTGACTGAAACTACTAAACTGCTTCGTAACTGATTCGCGAAAGGCGTCCGCATGAACATACGGTAGGTACAAAGGAACTTCCGTCGGTCGAAAGGGAAGTAGGAGAGACTGGTGCGCCGAGACGCCCGTTATCGGCGTCCGACTGGCGCAGTCGCGCATATTCCCAACTATGTTTGTACAAAAGCTATATACAAACATTCAACCCTCTCTCCCTTTTTTCAACCTCATACACTATGTAATACATACTCTCTCTCTCCCTCTCTCTCATACATATATAAGAGTCCTTTACGTCATCCATTATTTGCGTTTTACACAATTAAACGTTCTCTTCTCCTGTTTATTGCAAAACTATTTAGGCCATCGATCTCGACCAACAAAACCCCACACACTAAATACGTAATGCAGAAATAGCATTGTCGATGGTCATGGCCACACCATTACGTTCCAACAACAAATTTAAATTTCAACAACCGACTAAATAGTAGTTTCAATTAGTAGTGATTTTTTGTTTCAACTTTACAAATTCAAAGCTTCAATCAAGCATAAAAGTAGAGTTAATTCCTCCATCTCAATGCAACTCAATTGAAATTCTTACAACTCTCTTTAATGATTTACCGATCAATACAAACTAAACGTTTTCTGCTCTTTTCATTTACCTAATTTCATTTTCTAATCATCATTATAATTAAATGTTTAATTTCAAGAATACATTTCTTTCACGTATAAAATGCAACATTTTCTACAATGTAGACAATTAAAATTCTTTCATCTACATCCACAATTCAAACTAATCATTTTCTGCTTTCTTCCATTTTGCTAAACAACACCTTCTCCACTTTCGCTTCAAACGTTTATTTGCTATGGTTGCAGATTCATTTCGATAAGTGAAATATTCAGAATATAAATATTTTCATTATCTTAATAGCTCAAAATCAACAAAACAAAGAGTAATAAAAGAAAGAAGTTTCAAAACTATTATTAATGATTATATAAGATTTATAAATAAGTTAATTAATTAATAAAATGCTTTCAAAACATCTATTAATTATTGTAAAGGCGAAAATAGCAAAAGGATCCATATGCTCTTTTACACATTAATTAGAAATCCAACCAACATATCTGCAACTCGCAATTAGATTACTTTTTCCAGCAGGAAAGAAACACGCTGTATTAAAAATAATTGCAATTACAATTTGCAGCAGCTTAAACGCAGGAGAAAGAGAATAAATAGAAGGCATAGTTTATTATGGAATTAATTTTTAAAACGCAAACTTGTTTAGAACGACGATAAGTTCAGAGCTGCAAGTTTATCAAGCAGATGTTCCCAAGGACAATTACCCTGTCTAATCTATCTTTTCCTCCGTTTATTATTTCCTCCGATCTCGTCGACGATTCGTTTCATCGCGTAATTGCTTAGTGTGTAAATATAAAGAACGCGGCGCAAAACGAAAAAAAAAATGGCACTATTACGTTACGAACGGAACAAACAATCGAAAAACTAAACAAGCGAAAAAGCAATGCCATGAACAAAAGCAATTAGTTTACTCGATTCTATTTATGTTTGTAGTATATAAAAATAAAGTCAACAATGTTCTTACGAAAAGCAATTTGAAAGAAAATCAAATATCGTATACGTTGCGAAAGTGGAGCAAAATTCTCGAAAAACAGATGCACTTCGTAACTAAATATTAAAAATTATACGAAAATTTTCGTTGATTTCTTACAATTCCTTCGGTAATTTCATATTTAGTAATGCACCAAACTGAAGAATTCTTAAAAACTACTTTAATTGATGCATGTCTATTTGTTTCTTGTACGAATTGACGTTATGATTGGATTATTCAAATTCAAATCTTCGACAACTTCTTACAAATTTGATTCATCAAATGTTTTACTGAAGATTTTAAAAGTAATTTCATATTTACATTAGTAGCATATTCAACTGTGAAGAACAGTAAATAAATGAATTTGAATCTATCCTAATTTAAATGAGTTGCTGAACACAATACGTGATTGACGTTAAATCGAATTTGGGAGCTGCGTTCGATCCATCCAAGATTCGAAACGAAGGGACGACGAGAATCAATTTGCAGTCGAACCTGACCGCCTTTGAGCGACGAATAAAATCATTAGTGCGGCACAGTTTCGGGCACAGGAGGAACGCCATGAATTAGTGAAACTAATCTCTTGTCAACCCCCGGTCCGTTGTTAGTTAATTAACTCTAGTAAATCTTGATTATCTGCATACAGAATGCAGCGAATTGCACGTCCACAATCGCACGGTATATTAGCATGTTGCAACTATAAATAAACATAGCACAAATCCTCACACCCCAGCTCACTCACTCACCGTGCGTATTTGATCAAAGCTATTTTCGACCAGACTTTTCCTTCTTCGTCTTCCGATACTCCAGATGTTACATGTACCTGGAAAATCCTCACCAACGCTCACGCAATTATAATCGCAACAAAATGCAATCGATATGGTCCGAATGTACGTTTTAATTAATCCCAAAAATCCTCGCACATCAAGATATACATGAAGATAACTCATATACTTGTATTAAGGATTTAATTATGAACTCATTTAATTGGAAGCATTTACCGCCTCCGAGAGAGGAGTTCGCAAACTCTCGATCAAAATTCACCGGATTTAATTAACCCCACGAAGTAATTAAAACTTTATGCTGTGTTGTGTTGGTTTCTTCCACCCTCATTCATTTCTTTTTTTTTGTTTATTACATTAAAAGCACGCACTGCTTTCCAATACTTTTTTTGTCATTTTGTCCTCTCGCAAACTGATTAATTAATCGCAAATTTATATATAACAAAAAAAAAACTTCTAAATCGCAGTAATTATGGGAATAATCACGAATCGCGCAGCAACACGTTTCCATCGAAGGCTAATTACTAAATGATGGGTGGATATCAAAAAGACCGCCCGCATCAATTAATGAAAACGCTAATTAGTAGAAAACAAGTTTTTAATTGAAGCAATGAATGAAATCAAAGCATTCAAGTGACCGAAATAATAAGTCTAACCATGTGAAATAAATTTGTTGCAGTCGTAAAAATACAAAAGAAATAATTCTGCTCTTATCCAAACAATTGTGAAAAATCGCACTCGATATGTTTCGCCGTCCAACACAAATATTTAAAGATAGTGAAAAAAAGTATCGAGCAAACTATTTCTCGTCTCAATAATTTAATCTCCATATAAAATGCTAAAATTAGATGTACCGAAAATAAATGTGGATCTGTTCTTTGGAGCACTTTAGTTAGTAGACCAGTTATCTTCAATGCATCCTAGAAGCGGTGAGGAGCAATACGTAAATAGAAAAAAAATCCACTCTAAATACGTTTCCAATACAAAAGAAATATAATATCGTGATGTTAATAACAAGAATAAATCACTGATTTTCGAATAACGAAAGCAGATGATCCAAACATTTAAGACAATTAGTGTAGATTGAAGAAAAAACTCACCTTAAATATTACTTTATGTACATCTGCAACAAGAAACAAAAGTTATTAAAAGTTAAATAATCGATTATTTTAATGCTAAAATTTAGGTACAAGATCAAAACATTTGGCATTTGTATAAATCGACGATAAATCAACATCTTTCAAAAAGAAAACGCAAATAACATGGAAATACTACAATAATAGAAGGAATAATATTATTGTAGATGTAATCGCAGCAGTCAAAGTATGTTTTCACGTAGGATGCAAACACACTCACATACACGTAACGATGTGTTCTAATGCATGCAGAATATCGTTTTACCTGAGGCGCGATTCGAGTTCCGATAAGTTACGAGTAATGCTAATGATATTCAACAACAGAAGAATGGAACAAAACACACAAAAAAAATTAAGAGATATTTAATGGGGAGAAAGTGGACTTTTGTTCACAAAATTATACATTGCGCAAAAAAAAAAGATTCATTGTTAATCTCTTGAGTCATTTACTTCGAATAATTTGCGAGTTGAAACAACAACAATAATGTATGTGATTCGCATTTGTGCAATAAATTGTTGATATTTCATATATTAAGATGAGTTACAACTTGAATTGAAGGTTTAATGTATAAATTCAAGCTGAAATTATAGAGAACGTAGAGAGTGTATTTATGGTTGCGAGACTTATGGTTATAGTTTAATAAAGATTTGAAAGAAAATGATTGTATTGTGATGCCCGCTTTTCTAGTTGGTTACCAAATATGAAGAATTAGATTTTTTAATGATTTGTGAATGAACTGGATTCTATTTAAAAAAAAGATACGTTTAATTAATTGATTCAAAGTGAAGAGAAAAGAGTGAAAGAGCCGAATCCTCGAGTTCTTAGAAAGAGGTTGGTTACTCTCGACGTCAGCCAAACAACCATAAGCAAATAAACGAGGAACTGCAGTTTAAATCTCCTTTCCGAGAACAAAGAGAGAATGCAATTAAGCACGTACGACATTAAAATAAATCGCGGATCTCTTTTTTCTTCTTCATCTCAAACAACGAAACAAAACAACGACAGCATTAAAAAAAACAAACATACAAACAAAAGGACGGAGAAATCCCATAATTCTGCAACTGCAGACTGCTTAATTTAAGCCGTTTCCGCCCGTTTCGCATGTGCACCGCTAAATGCCTGTCTCCTTAAGTGCAAAGTTTACATATGCGATAATCTCGCGTCGTGGAAAAGCGTAAAGTTTTCCCGGAGAAAATTTCCACTCGCCGTTTCAGAACTGCATAAATTAGATTACGGCCGAACTGGTGTCACGTGGAATTACGTATGCATGCACATACATATTAAATCTGGAGTGGAAAAACTAACGAACTTTGCTTATTCTTAGACAGTTATCAAGAATCAAATAAACAAAAAAAATATAATAATAAATCAAACATTAAGCTTCAACTTTGGTTCGAATTAAAAGCGAGAGCAAACAAGAGGCTAAGTACAAAACTCGAGTAGAATAAAAGAGGTATGAGCCTCAAGAACAACAACATCAAGATGTTTATGTGCGAACACCCAGAGATTATCTCTTGATGTCTTTATAAACTTGCTTTTGTTGCAATTTGCGGCTCC